TACGCGGATGACATCCAACTCTACATTTCCACAAAAACCATCACTGCCACAACTCACTCCACACTCACCAACTGTCTCTCAGAAATTAAATCCTGGATGCAAACAAACTACCTTCAACTGAACAGCGACAAATCAGATATCATCATAATCGGACCCACATACCGCACCAACACCACCCAGAACTTCAACCTCACCCTTGACAACACCACTCTAACCCCCTCTCCTCACATTCGCAACCTTGGAAAAGCCAGCTCAAATTCGACAAACACACAAACCATATCACCAGGACCGCCTTCTTCCATCTGAAAAACATTGCCCGCCTCCGCCCCTCACACTCCTTCCCGGCTGCTGAAACCCACATCCACGCATTTATCACCTCAAGACTGGACTACTGCAACAGCATCCTGTATGGTTCATCATCCAAAATACTAAATAAACTACAATACATCCAGAACTGCGCTGCCCGCCTCCTCACCCACGCCCGCTCCAGAGACCACATCACCCCCATCCTTCAAAACCTGCACTGGCTCCCTGTCCGTCAACGAATACACTTCAAAATCCTCCTTCTAACACACAAAGTTCTCAATAACCAGGCCCCCCCCCTACCTCACCGACCTGACCCCCTCCCGCAGCCTTCGTTCATCAGAAGCGAACCTCCTCTCTATCCCCACACGAACCAAGCTCCGAACCTGGGGGGACAGAGCCTTCTCCATCGCTGCCCCCACCCTCTGGAACTCCCTTCCACAACACATTCCGACATTCCTTCCGACCCCCCCACTTTCAAAACACTAACCAAAACACACCTCTTCAGACTGGCTTTTAATTTGTGTATTATGCTGTGTTGCTGTTTTAATATATATATATATTTTTTTTATTCTTTATTCTATTTTATCATGTTTTATCAAACCACTGTAAAGCGTCTTTGAGCACCTGGAAAAGCGCTTTGAAATAAAATGTATTATTATTATTAGATAAAAAATGTCCTCCCTTGAGCACTGTCCAGACTCAAACAAACGTTTAAAGTTGTCCTCTAACTACCCTATTTTTCTTTACAGTAATGTATCATCATGTCTTTCTTCTCATGTCTTTACGATATGTGCCTCTGCTCTGTTTTTGGTGTAACATCTTGTCAAATCGTGTCATCTTCGTGTTATCATCGGTGCATTCACCCTCACTCTGATCGGGACGAATGCCCGATGGCACCGATGATAACAAGATGCCCTCACGATGGCCTTACGAAGGGCAACATTGACACACGAATTCAACACGAAAATGAACCTTCGCAAGGTCCTTCGGCAATTTTTTGGCATGCCAAAGATTTTGCCACCGCTCACGAAGTTGCTGCCGGAGCCTGAGAAACTCCACCAGCGATCATTCTTTCACACACACATACGGGTTTTGGGCCTAGGGCGACACCGTACTTCCGGTATCCGCCATTTCACACGAGGTGCAACCAGAATATCATAGTCTATTGCCTTAATCAATATAGTCAACTCTAAAATACCACATATAGGCCTATGCATTGGCATATGGCATATGCATTGCATATTCACCTGGTGTTTCCAGAAGATGGACGTAGATGCTGCCAAAATCGACTCAAAATCGACTCTAGTTTACGCTGGTAACGACCTAGAGCACACCCCTCAAGTCCAGAGATGTAATCCGAAGACATGCAGCGATTTCTTCGGTCGTTAATTCAGAAAAAAACCTAGTGCGCTCTGCCTGGCTACATTAGCTAGCTGTTTATATTAGCACCTCCAGGAAAATGGCGTATTTATATATATATATATGGCGCGCGTTGCATTGCGGGTAGCTCGTGACGTCACTGTGTGTGAAAGAATACGATGGCTTAAGATGCCCTCACGAATGGCCCGATGTTGCTACGATCACAGCCGAATTTGAACATTTTCTTTATCGTGTGTCCATCGGGTTGTTTTTATTGCACAACAAAATCATGTAAACATATTATGTAAATAACCCAATTTGTGTTCTGTGAAACTAAAAAGGATATAATATATTATTTTGAAGGACAGTTGACAGGAAGTTGTTGTTGTTATGGAAACAACATTACGGAGAAAACGTAATATTTTCTACATATAAAGACAGATACAGTAAAGAACAAAGTCTGAAGATATCAGTACAGTATCATAGTACTGTAACATAATTGTTTTTGGTACTTTCATTGCAGTTGTATGTCTTAAATGTAATGTAAATGTTGCCTTCGTGTGTGGTTCGGGGCCATCTTCGTGCGAAATTCACAATTCCATATTCGTGTGTCCATCGGGGGTCAATAGGCTACATGCACAGTCACTTCCGCATTCTACTCATAGCGGCCGATTCATTTCCTGTTTGAAAATGACGACCTTCTACACCCGCTGCCTACAAGAGCTTCCGAAATTAAAAATGTCAGATGTTCATCGGATTTGCCGGACGACTAAAGCCCCAGCCAGCAAACTCGATAAAGGCTTCAAATTATATGCTGCGTCATATATACACAACTATGAAGGTAAGAAGGTAACCGGTACTAACCAGCTAGCTTATGCTCCGGGTTACGCTAACATTAGCTGTCAAAAGCTAGGTAACGCCAGAGCCCTATATTATAACTACTATTATTATTATTATTATTATACTACTACTATAGTAGACTACTATAGGGCTCTGGGTAACGCTATGTACTGTTTCTGGTGTTAATTCTTTAAAACATTAGCCATTTTGCTAACAAATACTATCGTTTAATAGCCTTATAGCCTAGCCAAGGTTATCTTGTTGTTAGCCACACTGCATAATGGTATCAGCTTTTGTAAAGCAATGTTGCCATAGATGTGTTGACGTGAGTATAGATCTAACGCTGTTGCTCTGTTTTTCTTCATTCAGTGTCCAATAAAGACAGGCTGACAGGGCAGGTCAGCGTGAGAGCCTTGTGCTACAGGTCAATGCGGAAGAGCGAGACAGCACACAGTTTGAGTGTAGGCAGGCAGCATTGACACTGTTCCCCCCTGTTTATTGAGTTTCAGTTCAGTTAAACATTAGTTTACCTTAAGGGAATCTCAACAGTGTCCTACTTCTCCCTGCTTTATCACAGCTGATTGGTCAGATATTATTACATTGATTATGGATGTGTAAGTTTGGGGGTTCAAATATATAGTAAAAACTGCTTTAATACAACTTTCAAGGCATCTTAGTTTCCAAAGAAAGTTCATTGTGGTATTGTAGGGTAAGAGGGTAACACTAAGCATTCAGGAATACATGCTTCTTCTAGGATAATGGGTCAGTAAAAATAACCAATAATTCTACTCATAATAACCTCCTGGCTCATAGTAACAAGTGAGGTTACTAATCACTAGTATTTCTTCTCTCTTTTTTAGATAACGCTTCGTGATTCATCACCAGTGGTGCTCACGCACAACCAGTGCTCCTGTGTTGCAGGAACTGTTTTGTGCAATCACACAGTAGCATTGCTGTTCCAAACAGCACACTACACTGAACTGAACATGCCAGTTGTGCCACCTTGTACATAGCTGTACTGAATCGGAACAGCAATGGCACAAGCCGCGAACAATGGTAATTTCAATGAGGTTCAAATACTTGTAATCTTTCACAGAGTTTTTGTTTTAAAGTGACTCAACGAACAGTAATTGTCTTTTCCTTAAGGGTGTGAAGCCAGGGCCCATCAACTCCATGGTCTTCACCAAGCCTGTACCAAATAGGATGGTGCAGACTGGAGTAAGGTAATTTTAGCTGGAAAATTGTGTTTCCTGTGTTTTTAAAATTCATAATTCTGGTGCTGTATTCCTAACCTTTATTGTCACATTAATGTGCTATATTGTCTTTGCCATTCTTTGTAGGAGTGGATTCTACAGAGGCATGGTGGGGCCATTACCAGATCCCTGCCTGTTCAGAGTTACGGAGGCATACTCAGCATTCAGCATTGAAGACAGGCCGCTTGTGACCACAATGAACATGAGACCTGACCCTTGTGGAAAGTGCCTTCGGGATTGTGCAGGAGGGCAGTGTTCTGTCCTATCAGATGCCTGCTTTGACGTCTCGGTACACCACACTTCACACTGACACACCACCAACACCCCACTTGCCCATAGAGGGGTATGCGATCTTGCCATGTGATTTACCGCTGGTGTGCTCAGAAGAGGAGCAACTACATATGAACAGCTTATCTGTTGATTTGGAAATGTCTCACAAAATTGAGGAGGCTACCCGTGAGCAAAGCTCTAGCTCAGAGTGGCATCTGCTCCGCAAACCCAGGGTTACTGCCTCTAGGTTTAGAGAGATTTGTCACGTCAGAGGTGAGAGCTCTGCTAACTCTCTTGCAGAGCGAATACTCAAAGGTACAAGGCAGACTGCAGAAATGAGGAGAGGTGCCGAGATGGAGCCCACAGTAGCAGCTGAATACAGTAGACTGGCAAACGTGAACTACTCCCCTTGTGGCCTTGTCATTCACCCCTCTATGCCCTGGCTTGGTGCCTCCCCTGATGGAGTTGTTTTTGACCCAACAGAATATCCCCAATTTGGCCTTGTTGAATTCAAATGTCCCAATGTCCCAAATTATGTCGACTGCAAATATGTGCAGATGGAATGTGGCTCCCCTAAGCTCAAGAAAAGCCATGCCTATTACTGGCAAGTACAGGGTCAACTTCTTGTATCTGGGATGCAGTGGTGTGATTTTGTAGTGTGGGCACAAGAGGACTACCTGGTGCAAAGAATATACACAGATCCAGAAGTGCAAAGAGCAATCCGAGAAAAAGTAGACTTTTTTTTTTTACACATACATGCCGAAGTACCTGTCATTAAAAAAGTAGTGGGCACTGTAGCCATTGTTAACTCTGTAAGCAGTGTTATGGAAATCTTAGACCTAGTCAATACTGTGGAGATACACAAGTCAGAAATATCAAACAATAAATGGTGAAACAGACAGAGTTGTCTTTCGGGTTATTTATTTGAGGCCTCAAAGACACAGGTCTCACAGAACACAAGGTATCCTGAGAGAGTGCGTGCAGAGTAGAAAATGCATACAGGTTATATAGGATTTTGGTCAGTTCAACAACATCCCGTCACTCATTAGGAGGGGCCCTGGCAGGAGAGATAAGCTTTCCAAAGGAACTGAAACTGTCAATCACTAATAGATCGAACCAGGGGCCTGTTCAGCAAGAGGGAAGTGAGGAAACTTGTCAGCAACAGATGGAGGGCTAAGAAATGGGGAACTTGATTATAAGACAGGGAAACTAAACAGGAACTTGCCCATTGCCCTGCGCTTGGTACCCAGCCCCCTCATCAAGTTCAGACCTCAGGCGACCTTAAATGTCACTTTCCAGGGAGACAGAGGACATGAACTAAAACACATCACCCAGACCTTACTTCGACATTTTTAAAGGTCATGAGTGTCAATACATCATTACAGACACACTTGCAAAATACTGACAGAGGTCCTAAGCAGAAATATATTATTATAGAAATTGCTGAAAGTGCTAGTAAAGGTTACAAGCAGAACACATCATTCTAGGAACTGCAGTGGATGTGTCCATGTATGGTCTTATAGAAAGTCTGCACTATAAGAAACCTTAAACTACATATATACAAAGTTTGCCATTACATCAGTTAGCTGCTAGACCCTGGCTCAGACGTCATTGTTTTTAGGAGGCAATCCCTCAATCATGTGTTCTGAATGACAACAAAATGTGATTTCAATATTTTGTTTTTGATATATATTGTTTGTCACATTTCATATATGTAAATAAATATACAATTGTATTTAAAAAGACAATAAAGTGAAGTGATTTGTGTAATGAATAGTAAATCAGTGCATTTGTAAGAAATCAACGCATTGTAATTTGCTATTTATTCAAACAAAACACTAGCGTGTGTCAGGCAACACGGGATTACGGTGTGCTCACCCAGCTTAATCACAGCTACCTGCACAGGTGTCATCATCTTGTCTTATGTCACCCATTTCTTGACCAGTGCTTTGTTCTGATAGTTTGACAGCATACATGCTACTGCAAACAGTTGGTTGATGTTGTAGGCATGGGACAGGAAGATGACACCATCAAAAAGTTTGTTCTCTTTTATCCTCCTAATGACACGCTCCACATGAACCCTCAGTCTGGCAATGGCCTGTGTCTCCCTCACCTGATAGGCTGGCATTTGCTTCTGCTTTGACAGAAAAGGTGGGCAGTACACCTTGCATTTGCAGCAATCGCTGATCAGGAAGCCCTTATCTACCATCACTGCCATGTTTTCAGTCAACAACGCAGCTATTCCAGATTGTTTGAAAATCTCCTTGTCGTTGACAGAACCACCATACAGACTGGAAACAAATGTCACTGCGCCATGTGGGGCTATGCCAACCAGGGCTTTCATGGTGCAGTGAGATTTGTATGTAGAATAAATTTCACTTTGGAGGAGGAGTGAGGATGGTGTTTGACACCTCAGCTCTGTGCAATCCAGGATCACCTGTGTGTCTGGGAAATCTTTGAATGCCTCTGGGAGGTGGGCTTGAACTTCTGCAGGTGTAAGCCAGATGCACTGTGACCCCAATAAAGTGGTAAGAAAACTCGTCCATGTTGCAATGATGCGGCTCACAGTGGACTGGTGTACGTTGAAGCGGTTTGCAAGGTCCCTCTCTTTCAAACCCACCGACAGGAAGCAGAGAAAAAGGAAGAACTCGTCAATTGGCTGAAGCAGCTGTCTCTGGAAGATAAACAAAAAAAGGGTACTATATTAATGTCATGAGTGTAGCACACCATGGGAAAAACATTAAGTTGTTTTAGTTCTCTGTATTCAAAAAGGATTGAGTACTATAGCCTTTTAGCCTACACGAAAGCAATGAAATGTTGGAGAAACATTTTCCCTTCAGTTTGTGTTTAGATTGTGTGTTAAAAGAAACGTAGCCTACCGTTGATGGACGTGCGTGTGTAACCACTTCTTCATTCCTCTTGGCAGCTGATATCGCTCTTGTAACACGAACCATTTTATAAATGGAAGGCTCAATCAAAAACCAGAAGGCCATCAGGTGGTTATAGCTCGGGAATCTACACAAAAGACACATGTCAGTCATTAATTGACTCGTTAACTGTAACACATGGGCTAATGCTTTCCTCTTGTTTGCTATAACACATTACAATTCAAATAGACTGATTAAGAAGGCACTTGGTGCAGGTATAGTAATATACAGCAGTAACATGTAACAACTACATTAAAGCAGCAGTAATAATAATCTAAAACATACAGGGAACATTTTACACAGAATGACTACTTTTACTCTTCATTCTTAAGTGTGCAACTGGGAGAAACGCAGTGGATATTGACATGTACTTTTACTTTGGTAAGGTTTTGAAGATTTCCACTTGTAGTAAAGTATTATCAGTATGTTGTTAGTATTAGTATGTTTTACTCCACCACATTTAGTTAACCTTCATAGTTTCTAGTTACTTATGAAAAAACATGATTTATGATTCTACATGTTCAGTTCAGGAGTATTTTCAAACCATAGTATTTGTACTTATACTTCAGTTAAGTTGAGTAGCCTACTTATTCCAACACTGCATGCAAATAGTCAGCAGTCAAACGGCAGGTAAACAGGATTCTTTATAAGCTAACCCATCTCAAAAACTTGGATAGAATTTAGCCAAAACATTACCTGGTATAGAATCGGATGTTGTCGTCGGAGCCAGCAAACCGCTGTAAGCAAAACTCTCGCTGGACTCTTAACTCCTGCAGTTGCTTCTGCAGATCCTCCAATGTTTTGGAGTTGTCTTCTGTAGCTTGAGAGGACATGTCCAGTGAAGCTGGTTCAGGGGTTGAGCAGTAATCATGGTCACGGACATCGATGTGCTCTTCCTGCTCCTCCCGAGAGACTGGTTCAGTGGGCCGCTCCCTTCTCTCCCAAACACTAGCCCGCGGTGTTTGAGCAGTGAAGTGATTCCACTCAAACAGAGTTGGGACAGCACCTTTCACAAGCCTCCTACGGCCATCAAGGGTTTTTGGCTCTATTAGTTGATCCGTAGCGAAGTGACGACTGCAGACCTTGGAGTGAGAGGAGATTGTAAAGTTATCGCGTCGTATTTTAACCAGCCACTGTCTTCGCAGCTCGAGTTCGGTCGGAAAGCCATGGAAACTTAGGACGCCGTTGAATTTAGCTGACGCCGTACAAAGTGGGACACAGCAGTGCTCGGAGTAGTTTTTTACTTGTCTTTGCAAATGCTCCGTTTTGAAAATCTTCCGTCGACTCATATTTAAACCACAGATTTAAACAGTAAAACATTTGTGGACGCTCAGCTACGCAGACCAGAAGCAACCCGGAAGCGTCCGAGCAGTATAACGGCTAAGGCGGAAGTACGTCTCAGACCCTAGTGCATGTAGCCCAGAGCCGTATAATAGAAGAGTTACGACAACGGAAGTCCAAAAACGGTTATCGTCACGTGGTTCATGTAGAAGAGGATCGTTCCCCGGAAGTTCATGGCGGGCAATGTGAATGCATTGATAACAGGAGATAGAACTACGATTTTTGGTAATTATTAGTGAATAAAGGTTTTGATTTGCAATATTTATACAACAAATCGATATGTGTATGTATTTACATCAAAATGTTTTAAAAAATAAAATAGAATTTGCTAATATTAAGTGATAATATTAGGATTAGTGTGAACAACTAGTTTACATGTTAGGCTAACAGTGCCTTGGTTAAAGAGCCTGTTGCTGTTTATTTATAGCTTTGAATTCTTTAAAACCAATATTATCTTCTTAAACTTGTATGGTAGTCAGGAGCATCATTTTCTAATGTTTATTGATATATTTAGAGGGAGGGGATCTAAAGTAATGCTTTAAAATTCAGATTAGATTAATGTCTACTGTTATGGAAATAATTATCATAGACGCCAATTTGTAACATACAGGACAAACCTTGATGTCTGTTTACCTTCTTTAAGGACACAGGCTGCTTAGCCAATAATGTTATTGTTCCCATTCTGTGACCGGTCAATACTGGGTCACAGATGGTCTGTGTTGTGGGTACACTGGGACACTTCCTTCTCTGTATTTGTGGACTCCAAGGTGAAATCTTCGAGGTCATAAGTGTCCGACGCAAGTAGCTCAGTGTTCCCACACTGTTTAGGCTATCTTCTCAAATATGTTGTTTACTCTCTGCGAAACCAGTTAGATGGGCTGGCAAGAGAGAGGCTCTCCAGAATTGACGTGGCAACTCTACCGTGAAGTCAGAACCTCTGACTCTTGGACTTGTGATGTGAATCCTCCGGCCGTAACTCCAAATAAACCATCAGTGTTTGACATCAAAGATACTGCTCCTACCGTGTCTCCTTCCTGAGTCGGTGACTCCCACTGCATAGCTACACAGAAGTTTCCTCTGCATCTACCATTTTCTTAAATTCATGGTAGTTTCAGTAACCATGGTAATTGAGGACACAAGTTATCTAAATGACTAATGTCATCTTTATGGCTTTCAGAAAGGACAGGAGACCGACAGGTGACTATCAAAGGACTAGCAGCAGCAGCAGCATGATGATGATGATGTTAAATGTGTTGTTTTAGGAACATCCATTGCAAATACATGGAATTCAATAAACATTGAATAGCATATCATGCAGTTTGTCTGTGCCTTTTCCTCCTTGTTGTCCTGGTTTGCTGTGCTGCCTCCTAGTCGCCACCATGGTTTGCTGTGCTGCCTGGGGATGCTCCAATCGCTCAGAGAAAGGAGTACGAATGTACAGCTTCCCCACTGACACAGAGCGGAGGAAGCAGGAGCAATTTCACGACCAACAGCAACAAAATATGTGATTTATATACAAACACTGCATTTGCACTTTTTCACAAAACGAAAACCACACCATTGGGAAAGCTTAATGTTTTGTTTAATACAAAAAACAGGGAAAGGCTTGAAAAACACTGAGAGTTGAGACTCAGGGTGCAGGGTGAGGGTCTCAGTGCAGGTATTCAGGCTCCATTGAATCCCCCTCTGGTTCTTGTGCTGAAAGAGGGATAAACAGACAGGAGAAAGGGTTATACACACACAGCACACCTATTGGATGGGAAATTGCCTTGGGGAGATAAGGTGTGGTCTTTGTTCCCAACTGAAGTTATGGAACTTTATTATTTGTGAGTTTAACAAAGTATGACAAATGGCATCAGTAACATATGTGATATGAATTTCTATAAAGTTGTCTCACATTCTTGGTCATATTGTATATACAGCATGTAATGAGTATAACATGTCCAGTAAGTATAAAGTGTTTCCTAATACTGTGTATTCAACCACTATGGAATATGTATGTGGGCAGACAAAACTGAGTTGTTCTGTGTGTGAAGTAACCTCAAGTCACTCCGCAGGCACATTTTGATGCAGACCAGTTTGTCAAGACAAAAAAGGGCAAGACTAGGCTGAGAGCAGAGGCTATACCCACCATCTTCGTGCATCGCCCTGTGGTCAAAAAGAGAAGGGCCCCTGCACCACGATTCACCCCGGGACCTGTATCTACAAAGCCCATAGCTCATGATCACAGCGATAGTGTGAAAGGTGACACAGGTATAATAAGTATGAACTCTTAGTAACAAAAGTAATATTTCTTATTTTTAAGTGGTATAATATTTTAAATGTTCAAACATTTACAGTGCCATGTCTTCTACTTACATTAGTCTCAAAGATTGAGGGAAGAAGGGAAGGGATCACTGCCCTCCACCTGCCAGAGGAGCGCAAACAACAAAAACAAGCAAGGTGTCCCGTCATGTACCTGGAAGTTTGGGTTGGCAAAATGGAGTAAGAGAGGGACTTGAAAAACCTTGGTGGCTCTCTACTCCTGTTGTTACAGTTGTCTTGGTTACAGCTCTCACGTGTTTTTTTGGTGCCATTTCCACATCTTTAGAAAATATGAAATAAAAAATTGAAGTGAAATCAACCTCTTCTCTGGAGAACAAACTTTGATTTCTCTGCCTTGTGAGTTTGCAGTCTTGCAGTTTTGCTCCTCCACCTGTAACATCACTGCCCCTCCACCTGCCATACAGTAGGTTACTAACAAGATTACTTATATAATACAGTGATATAATACATGTTTAGTATGCTTACTTATATAAAACAGTAGTATTAAACTTACCTTGTGTTTTCACACTCACTTAAGTTCCTCTCCCTTTGCCATCAATCCAAAATCAGCTGAGCTGCAACATTATACAGGCAGGTAATAATCAACATAATCACAAGGACACAATATGACTCTGCTAAAAACACTCACTCTTACACGCACCAAAGTTATATTTATCTAATATTTAACTCCCTCCACCCCCGCATACAATCCCGTTTAGAAGCCCCTCTTCTCTAATTCAACAACGTTGGACCAAATGACATTAAGAGAACGGAATTTACAATTAAAAGGCTGTTCAACGTGTGTTGCTAACTTGCTTCGGTATCCTAGCTTGATCTGTTATCTGTAAACGTTCCCTAAATCTACTGATTTAGGGATAATCCACTGACATCCTTTAATACACATGTTCATTTGAATCAGATGTACTGATAATATCCGCAATATAAATCTTTAAACTTCTTCTTACCTTTAAAAGTCCGTCACGAACGGTTATTATGCTGCAACTCTACCGCTCTGCTAGCCTTGGCGCTAACTTCCGGGGAACGAATGAGAGGCTCCACGATCCGCCATTGCTGTAAAAAAGTGGTCCATTGGAGTGAACGGAGATGTCATAACTCTTCTATAATACGGCTCTGATGTAGCCTATTTCGGGACAGTGTGACAGGGGCTTTAGGGAGAACACTTCTTGTTTGTGATTGGACAGAGCCAGCCAGAGAAGCACTGCTGTGATTGGTTGTTTTTGCTGCCAATCAAGAAATTACGCTTCGTGATTGGTCAGCACCCGACAGCGCAACATGTCCCTGAAAATCAGCCGTTAGCTGTTAGCACACCGAGCTACTACAGCTCCTCATATCTGTTCAGAAACTGGACAAAAATTAAACATGAACAAAACACAGACTGTCTATGTCATGGTGAATACAGTCGCTGCTTTATTTCTGTCTGTATGCCGTTGTTGTGAGTGTGGACGAAGCAGCTACAGGTTTTCTGAAATGCTGTAGTGTTTTCTGAAATGTTGTTTTGACTTGCACTTCAGGGCCACTTTAAGATTAGGCTAAAAATACATTTATGTGTATGTATTACAGTTTTTCTCGATTGCTAACACACTAATATGATACATAAAGCACAATTATTTTAACTGACACTCAAAGAGCAACACATCGGCTCAAATCTCCAAAACTCTAAACACGTTTTCAGCTTTTCACACAATTTGCAAATCAACATGGCACTTTTTGCAAACCACTGCACACGTTTCTCCACGTAAAACACAGGAATCTGACATAAAGTCACGTGTTAGCAGGTTTAAAACACTGATATTCAAAATGCCTCACACATGGACCAATGATCAAGATACACGTTCCACCTGACCAAACACCTTATAGCATAATTGTTGGCGCATCAATCAGGATGTTAGCACTATAAAAAGACCACAGGTGAGTACTTTCTTACAGCAACAATGGAAGCCAACATGGAAGCAAGAGGAAGAGTACTCTCTAATGAAATGAAATGTTATCAACCATGGTTTGACGAAGAGAGAGGCTGGACAGAGGGTTCAGCCTAATCTAAGCCGATTTACTGTCGCCTCTGTAATCCGGACACTTAGACTTGAAAACAGGTTAGTTACCAGTTTTCAGCTCTGCATAATTCATAATATATCAGTGCTTATATCTGTTGTGTGAAACGTATTTACTTCATTACTGTAATTGAATTGTTAGCATGTTGCATACTATAACTGTACAAAGATCCTGCACAATGTACTGTGGTAAATTTACTTTTATGCAACACAGACACTGACCGACCACTATGTCTTTGTTGTTTATCTGAAGGACGGAGAAAAAAAGAGGTGGAAGGCTAAGGATTTTCAATGAGGCACAGGAAGCAGCAGTTACAAACTGGGTTTTGGCAAACAATGCATCACACTTAGAGAGATCCGAAGCATCGTAACTATGTGCTGAGATGCATGTTGCACAATGTTATTTTTGAATAAAATGTTATTTCTTTCAACAACTCATTTGTATTTCTTCATTTACTGTATTTCTGTAAACTCAAGCAATCTTTCTCTGCAGAAAGCTCTATGGACAGAGCATAGCCCATAAAAGATGAAAGTGCTTTAGATTATGCTCAGCAGTGTGTAGCTGGGTGGTCAAACAATCTAGTATTATGAATGAAGTGTGTGATATTTGGTGCAAAAGTTTGCATTTGGTAAGTGTTTATGTAGTTTTGAGGGCAGTTATTCATTTAGCAGGATAAATGAGGTGTTTTGCACGT